TTATAAATTCATTAGGATCTCCTAATGAAAGGATCTGACGCATTGAATTAATGTATGATAATACGATTCTGCGACGCGACAATAATACGCGAGTGTATCCTAATTGACAATAACAAACTAAATTTGGAAATGGAAAAAAATAGACGTTATGTATTGTACTACGAACTGGTTGTCCTTTCATTTTTTCCTCTCATTAAATTCTAATTCCTGACATGGATTAGTTAATGTTCTTTTCATAGCTGAATCTAATTTAATAATACATTATGCATCATATTTTAGTTTTAAATGACATTAAGGGTGTTGTTTACGTTAATTGGTTAAAATGTAAAGTTTACGTTTAATACAAATTCAGAATGATAAATTGTATTACGTATGTTGAGGTGTACTTTTCCTACTCTTTAACAAGATGGATTCATAATTTTCAGAAACGTTTATCTATTATCTACAAATATTTACATTATACTAGAATTTTTATTTTAATAAAATCAATTTTAATTGGTTTGAACACCAGATAGAATGACGATTATTATTAATATTTGACGTTACAATCACAAATCTGGGTTCTCTTCAGAGACAAAATCAAACAAAAAATAAAATATTAGTAACTATACAAAGCCATAATGATTTGGTCTTCTCCACCAGTTTAGACGAATCAAAAGTTTATAATAAAATTTATTAATATGTAAATTTCATTCATAGATAAACATTATTCGTCTTAAAAAAAAATTACTTTCGAAAGATTTGTCTTATTTTGCATTTCATCACTCTGTCGTAGCCCCATAAAGGAGTATTCTCCTTTAGAGACATCGTTCCTAGGCAGTTTTTCGATAAAAAATGCTTACTTTCTAACAGATTAAGGAATTTAATATTTTACGTACATGTTGGAATATGTTTCAAGAAAGAACAGTATCATTTTTATATACTTAAATTTACTATTACTTATCTTATTACATGTTTGCTGAAATATATCAGTTTAGATGGCTTCCACGATATCTCAACACAGGTACATCTTTATCTTTCGAACTAGAATTATATCAATATTTCCAATAGTTTTGTTTTTAATGCAAAAGTTACAATGTTCGCGATAAAATTTGTTTGGTTTCCCAAGGTTGCCATTTTATCAAAACATGTATTTCTAATTGTATTCTAGTTGAAAAGATAATCATATTCATAAAAATTAAAATTATCTTGGATTTTTCGTTTCAGTACCCGACAACGTGAATCGTAGAAGTCATGTAATATGGTACACTTCAACAAACATGTAATAGCATGAGTAATAGTAAATATAAGTACATAAAAATGATACTGTTCTTTCTTGAGACATATTCCAACATGTACGAAAAATATTAAATTCCTTTATTTGCTAGAAAGTAAGCATTTTTTTTATCGAAAAACAAAACTATTGGAAATATTAATATAATTCTAGTTCGAAAGATAAAGATGTACCTGTTTTGATTAACCCTGTGTTGAGATATTGTGGAAGCCATCTAAACTGATTTCAGCAAACATGTAATAACATAAGTAATAGTAATTTTAAGTATATAAAAATGATACTGTTATTTCTTGAAACACATTTCAATACGTACGAAGAATATTAAATTCCTTAATCTAATAGAAACTGACAATTCTGTATCACAATAATCGCCTAAGAGCAACGTCTTCGGAGGAGAATACCCCCTTAAACAAGCAATTAACTTAGTATCGATTAAATTGTAATGTGTAATTAATTCGTTCACGATTTATTTCTCGGTATCCTTTGCTACAAACATGGGTGACTCAGTAATTGAGCAGTATCAATGTCGTGGGCGATGACCCTTAGAGAGGCTGGCGACCACACCAGTGCCAAGCTAGAACTGCCACGGGACACAATGAAATTTCCTCCTTAACAACCGATTAGACAATTCAAACCGCCACTTCGGGTCAAATTCATGCAAACCTCTTATTCCTCTGTACGCGTGCTGTTACCACGTTACTCCATCGCGTTTCAAGTTATTTCCATCCGAGCACGAGAACGACACTGAGAAGTACTTCTCGTCAAACAATATTCCCTCGCTTATTGACGAAAGATCAGAACCGGGACGTGACAATTGTAGAAATGGGAATATACCGACAGTGAACGAGAAAAGCAAGAAACAAGTCTCATTAGTCCCATTCAAATCATTTCTTTGAGAGCTTGGAAGTTTTGGTTTGTAATAAATAACAGCGATAATATTAATATTTAAACGAGCTTGTGAAATTAACGATAATATAAAAATTCAAATAGAAATGCATACTGAAATGTTCAAATTTAGATTCGGATCAAAATGGATCGAAAGTCCACCATTCGATTACTAACAAGGAGATTAAACAAAATTTTTGGACATAGTTTTATTACTCTATAATACTGTCACGGCGATACAGTTAAATATACATATAAAAATGTTTAGTTTGTATGAGTATTTGCCACATTGGGCCCGGTATCGTCTTTGAAGTTAGGCTCTAACCGGTTTTTAAATTCACAGTTGCCTCTCGAAACGACGGGTCTTTCACACCGAAGAAAAAAATAATGGTGGGAATGACTCCGCGTTTAAACGACGGGAAAAAAGTTAAGTCAACAGACGCGGGATCATTATACTAAGCATCGTAGTAGCTCGAAGCGATTTGCGTGCTCGATTCGATTCGCCTGTCCGATTGATTTGATTTATTCAGTTACAGAAAAGTCTCCAATTAAGAAAATAAAAGGCACAGTATCGGTCGATGAATAATTGTAAATGAAAGAGACTGAAATACAACAGAACACAATAACAAAAAGTGAGGAAGAAGAAGATTCTAAACAAAAATTTGGATATTCCAGATTAGAAAGAACCAGTAAATTATTGCTGAATATAATATTTTGTTTAGTTATAATATGATATAAAAAAATTATAAAAATAAATTACAATTCACTTGTTTGTATCAATCTGATGCTTTAAAAACTACATGATATTGAAATGAATTTTAGTATCGATAGAAACGTTTTCTCGAATATTCTTCAAATATAACAATAGTAATGGTTCAACAGTATAAATTTGGACATTTCTTTCTTATCATCGATGCTATGAACAATTATAGTTCTTTAAGGAATCGAGAATTGCAAGCACATTCTGAACATCTAAGAACTGCGAAGGTGATTCTAATTAAAGAATAGCAGCAGACGTCTCTTTAAACACAACTTGGCAGCTCCTTGAAATTTGCATTATTACGTTTAAAAGCGAATATAATTTGCAAGTCTTCTGTCGATGAATAAATTTATTGTGATACGATAAGGTTTTTAAATTGTCCATTATAGGTGTGCTGAAATTTTGTCTCTTTTAGTTTACTAATTCGGATTATCGTTTAATCCGAATCGCTTCTTTCTCCAATTACACTGGATTAACGAGGCTTTACTCTATAATACATTGGGAAGAGTTAATGACATGGAACACAGAGTTTACTATCGTTTACAGACTCTGACAGTAGGATTTGAATCCAGTACGTTAATTTTATACGATCGGGCAATGAAAAAGGTTATGTAAAGGTCTGGAGCAATGATTGTAATCAGTTAATCGAGAATAATTATAACGAGACCATTAATTATATTCAGTCGATACATATCAAATGATTATAAAATACAGTAAGACGCAGTTTAACGCTAGCTCGTTTAACACTGTTTCGTTATAGTGCACTTTTTGCACGAAATAAAAACTTGTTTAGTCATTAAATGCATTTCATTCATATACCCGACAAAATTAGTGGTGACGGTGATCTTTTCTACATGTGATTATGAGAAAAACCTTTAACACGTTGTGTATATCATTTTGCCATATGTTTTAATTATTTATTCCACTTATAGCATGAAAATTCCAAGTATCGAATAGTTCAACGATGTATTTGTTACTTTACAGCAATTTCAATTACAGTGAATTTAAAAGTATTTAACGTATTAATAAGGTGATTTGTTATATTGTTAAATTTACATTCTTCATTCTGTTATCCGATTTATACCAACATTTACTTAGACTCTGAAATTTTATTCAGATTTTTATTTTCTGAGAATTTTACTGTGACCTGAACGAATCATAAGTCTCTAACGAATAATGGTAATAAAACAAAACAAAGGCTGTAGTTATAAAATTATAAATATTAATTTATACCCCATTTAGCGCTACAAATTTCAAAAAATTTTTATATCAAGACGGTTAACAGAAAGAAAGTCGCGATCGATTTTGTTTTTACGTTAATTCAGTCTGTACGCAACAAACCGCAAAAATCGACGTCGAACTCTTTCGAGAGCACGGTATAATTCACCTTATGACATTACTAAATTACGTTCGCGTATTCGAGGTGAGAACAGACACAAAAGTTGCGCAACACCGTGTAAGCCTGATGGTTTTTTCTTTTTAAGATGTTGCGAAAAACGTTTGATAAAACCTAATTGTCTCGCGGCATTATTGATAATGGCTTTCTCCGATTTCTCGGGGAATTTTATTCTGCTCTGATTCCGTATTACGGTTGATGTATACGAGCTCTTATTGCAATTGGTTTTGCTCCGAAATGGTGTTCACAGTACGGGAAATACAACGACGAGAAATTACATGTTTTCGGTCGTCGCGTTTCAACAAATTTCGAACGCGGAAGTTTCGTCGAAAACGTGCTCGACAGAGAATTGTTCGAATACTGAAAAAGTTACAAAATTTTTTGAATTTCAATTTGTCAGATACCCAGTATAACCCCAGCGCCAGTTCCGAACAAGCGAACGCAGGTTCTCGATCGTTCGAGCACTTGCCACGGACCGTCTGCGTCGAGCACTCGAACAGTTCTACGCTATGTTAGACCTCGCGAGCCCTTACTTCGATTAGTTCCGTTCAGAGGCGATATTAATTGGACAGAAATTCAGCGACGAGCCACGTTTGGCTCATAATTAAGCGAATCTGAGCAAGCGTGAGATTCTAACGGCGAACGAGCGCGAATGAAATAGAAATTTGCTTGAATCTTTGGCTTACCCATTCCGTAGTAATCGACAATTGGTTCCAAGTTCAATCTGGCCGTGGGGAAAGGACAAAGAAAAAAGAAATACGTACGTAAACACCAATTTAAAACGTTTGTATGAATTAAGACGATCGAAATGAAAATGCTGAACTCTGTTGCTCGTGGAATCATATAATCGAAGAACGACTTTGGGAGTGTTAAACTGTTAATGCGTTGGATAACTGTACAGTTTGAATTCTTGGAGTGCCACGATTGCTTTTTCATTCCAAGAGCAAATCGAGAACTCGCGAAAGAGAGTTTACTTTATCGATCGAAAATACTTAATTAACAATTATTTCTAAAACATTGTTATAAGCTTTCTCAGAATGTTGCTATATACATTTGCGGCATGATTAGAATCTTATCGTCTTTCCATCGACTTAATTCAATCGAGTATTCTATTCGTACAATGCAAATCCTACAGCGTATGATCGCTGCAGAACTATGGTTTCGTTTGAAAACAACGAATTCGAATCGTTTATAGGGAAGGAAATGAAAGCGTAAGCACACGGTCAAAACAGAAAGTTGAACGTAAAACGAAAGCTGCTTGGAAAGCTTAAATCTCCGAACGCGTAAGCAAAGCACTTCGAGAAACCAAGCCACTGCCCGGACACGATTATCGGATCAAGAGTTTGCAAAGTAGCACGTTCCGGTAAATGCACTATACATACAGACAAATCGCGTAGCGGCTATTTTACTCCGATCACTCGCCAATGGCAACACAGTACAATTTTATACTAAGGTGCACCGTTCTACAAAGTGTTCCAACAATTGTCGCACAACCAAATACTGGACGATTTTTTGTGCAAAAACAAATTGAATATATACGATAAAATTTTGTTCTAAAATGAAGTTTGAAAATTACACTCTAATAAAATTTACAAGCTAATTTATCTCTATTTCCAAAACTACTCTAATCTTTTTATTAATACAATTAATGGACTGGGAACTTTGTAGAGAGTTGTCTCAGCTCTTAAATAAAATAATTCGTATCTTGCTCGAAATATTTCTTATATTGTTGAAAATTTAAATTTCTCATAATTGCATACATATCCGCAGTCTAGTTATAACTTATAATTAGCCGATAGATATTATTCTTGATAAGGAACAATTAGTAGAGAACAATCTTATTCTATATTTTCAAGTTGATCTTGCACGAAGAATCCACCAAATTTTAATTTCACGAGAACGAACACACAAGTTTCATAGGTAACGCGAGAGAAAAAAAACTGAACGAATCGATTTTATCGAGATAACTTTATAACGGATCAGGAAGGATGATGAGCATCAGCATCACTGTACACTGTAGGTTTGGACCGTACTCGATAGAAACGTACTCGTTAAAATCCCGAACAGAGCGACCCGTAAACCTCGTAAAAAATTGCGAAAACTCACCGGCGGAAATTCCAAAAAATCCGACTCTAAATCGACTCGTCGAGGATAAGGCCTTTAAACGACCCGGGGAAGCAGTTAATCGATCGTCCGTCTTTTTATCCGCAGTGTCGGTCAACGCGAACGCCAACACTCGTCGAAGATTACTAAGGGGATGATATGTGGGCCAGTCACTTTTAAGACGAGCCAACTAACGAAAGGTAGACTGAGCTCACTTGGGACCAACCAGAGTTCCTTATACCTGGTCGCGTGAGCGGCCGGGACAACTTCTCCCACCACCAGTTTCTATTGACGCATCTACACGACGACACACTCGTACACGATCATGCATTGAACTTTGAGACACCTTTTCGTCCCAAAGAAACTAACGATCCTGCGAAATCACAATTTACCTATACCATAAACGTGGCACGTGTCACAAATACAGCGAGCAACTCTAAAGGAGAGTAATCTTGTTTAACGCTTACAATTGACAATTATAGTGCATTTATTCGTAATATAGAAAACCAGGATTTTACAAAGACCCACGCGAGTTTTGTAACAATTTTTATTGGAAATTACAAATGAGTCATTTTTACTGCTTTAGTAGTTCTAGTGTTATCAAAAAATCGATTTTCTCCAGGTGCAATCGAATTTTAAACAGATACAAAGTAGCCAACTCCTTATTTCAGTTTCGTATTTAAAGATGTCCACGACATTTATTCGATTTATAACACGACAAATAGAAATATTCAATAATTCAATAGTGGTCTATTCTACATATATTATCATGATAGCAGCGTTATTTCATTATAAACGATTTTGAGAAACATTGTAAGCTTGAAGTATCCGGTACCAGTGACCACCAGTGTAAGTCAACGTGTTCAATCGATATCCGCAATAACTTTTGTCACTATTTTTTAATATCAAGTTTCACAATCATGAGGCCACACTCGACATCAAGTCTTATATATTAAAATCAACACATTTTTTCAATCGTAAAAATCTATTCTTCTTGTATGAAGAAATTTAAATAAAATTGAATAGTATACACTTAAACAATTATTTGGAATTAAATCGTACGTCAAGGGTTTAAAGTACCTAAAAGTTTAAAAGTTTATGAAAAGGATCAATGTTTCGTATTTAGATGGACGGCATTTTGTCAAATTATAATTTTCATGGGCGACAGCCACACTCGTATTAAGATTTTTATACATAGATCGAATACGTCTAGGATGAGTTGAACGTAAAATCGTGGCAAAAATGGAGACAAATTTTTTAAATGTATGAAATAATTGCATAAACATTTGTATATACTTCACTTGGAATATGAACGTATGTACATGTCAAATTCCAAACGTTTGGATCTTATACTTTGCGTTATACTGCATTTAAAAAAATCACAGAATACCAACTTACTATTCTACGAAGAAGGATAAAATAATCGTGATATACAGGGTGTTCGGCCAACCCTGTTAAAAATTTTAATAGGGGATTCTAGAGGCCAAAATACGACGAAAATCAAGAATACCAATTTGTTGATGGAGGCTTCGTTAAAAAGTTATTAACGTTTAAAGTTCCGCCCGTACTGAATTTTTTCCCCCAAAATGCGCAAAATTTCGGGGGTATGTCTATCCACCAAAAATGATTGTAATTAACCACCGCAACCGAAAATAATTTTTCCAAAATGATTTGAAAATTTTTTTTCCGTCGAAAAATTTCACACCTACTCGAATTTTTGTTTAGAATGTGGGTAGGATTTCGGGGGTATGTCTATTCACCAAAAATTATTGTAATTGACCCTCGCAACCGAAAATAATTTTTCGAGAACAATTTGAAAGTTTATTTTTTCGTCAACTTTGGGCGCCTAATTAGATTTTCGGTAAGGAATTTTTTTCTCGAAAGTGCGTAGGATTTCGGGGATATGTGTAATGGTAAAAAATAATTGTAATTGACCCTCACAGCCGAAAATAATTTTTTCCAGAACGATTTGAAATTTTTGAATTTAATTGTTAATAACTTTTTAACGAAGCCTCCATCAACAAATTGGTATTCTTGATTTTCGTCTTATTTTGGCCTCTAGAATCCCCCATTAAAATTTTTCCCTGGGGTGGCCGAACACCCTGTATATTGCATTACTGTATCGAGTCCAGTTAACGAAAGTATAAAGTTCATTTGTTTCATCTATAATGTTTCATGCACAATATATTTTAAACGATATCTAATTTTGATGTTAATTTAATATTCGGACGTTTGGATATACGACACGTTGCGTGGCCTATATAATCAATTAATTCGCATATCACGTATGTTTGTGAATACAGTACACGGGGTATGCTCTGTTTCAATAGACATTAAATAATACTTCGTTAGTTGAAAAATGGAACGTGAATTTTCGACAGGGAAAAGAACAGAACGGATCGAGAAATTGATGGTTAGCTTAATTTAAGTAAACAGTACCGATATTATTGTATTATATATTTGCGCGAAAATCGGGCCAATCAAACGCGCTTAATATTTGGAATAAACATATCATTATGTGAAAAATAAAATAAAATCCCAAAGTTGACGCATAAAAGATTACTACGAGTTTGTTAATGAATATGGAAAGACAGTGCGTCCACAAACAATTTGCAAAACGCTTTACGAATATGGATAGAACGGATGAATTTCTTGCTAAAAGACATGCGTCAAAGATATTTTAAAATGATGTGATTCTTGTTGTGAACTTCTTTTTATAGATGGCACAATGAACAAAAATATGTATTACTTATAATAATGAAAATAAGAGTGAGACATATAAAATTGATTCAACTACGAATCATCAATAATTCATATTATGTATGGCGGTTGCAATTTACGTTTAATAGAAAACCACATAATTATTGGATCCCAGAAGTACGCCCAAGAAAAATATATAATACAATGTTAAGAGCAACACTATTAAACTATTTATACTAACTTCGTATCAGAGAATATTTGAAATATTTGAAAACAGTGTTAAATATTGTAATTTGTTGTGTGTTCCTTTTTATTTTATTACATTTAAACCTTATAAAGAATAATGCCAGTAAAAATGTAACGAATATGGGGATTCAGAATACGATTAACCCTAGATTTACGGGCACTGATTGTACATATCTGTGTTGAAACTCTTTTCATTTATGGTTATGTGGGAATGCGATTTTTCTTTTAATGAGGAAGTATATTCGTACCGTTACCTTAATCGAATTCGATATAAATTGCTAATAAATAATAGTTATGAGTTCTGTAACTTTAAATGTGGAATTTGACTAAATCTAGTGTTAAGTTTTATTAAGATAATCCCAAACATAAAGTCTATATCGTACAATTACACAAAAATTTTAGATATTTCATGCCAATTTTCAGACACGAATCTAATAGAAAACTGATGTAATGAATTAGGTAATACTAAGAGTGTTAAGGGGTTGAGCAAAATAATTTAATTCGCTGAAAGAAGCTTTCTAATATGCTTAGCTTCACACGTCAACGTTAATGACGAGTGAATAGTTGTGGGATATGGCAGGTAAAACGTTAATCACACTCAGTGGAATCTTGTAACTAACAACAATTATTTATTCTAAGTCGGATAGCCAAAATGTATACAGTCTTGAAATACTAGTGATGATTGATGGTTTAGAGTTAATTCTGATCTACTCTCTGGCCCAAAGTTGCCCAAGCAGTTAACCTTGCCATGGGCGGACCCAAGGTCATGAGAGGCAGCATCGGTCTAATATTGATCAGATAGTGCAAATATACTGGCCCATCAGTTGGTAGGCGAAGTTGATCGATGGGAGGCGGCATGTAACCGTTATTTTTAATAATTTTCCCTCGTCTGGGGTTTTCCGCGAGGCGGCGACGGGCCCAGGTTAGCGCTTGGTGCCCAGATGTTTCTTGCGATACCTGACTCGCCATAAAACATCCTGGCATTGGCTTTCGATGTTATTGCAGGTAGTAAAGTCATAGAATACCTGGATTTGGAGGGTCATGCAGATACGAATGAGTTTAATAATTAAATATCCGTCTTAATGGCACTTGATTATAGGCAAAACTTGATTGTTTGAAAGGTCTGACTCTACATCCGCTGGCTTTATGAATTTACTGTTACGCTGCAATACAGAATAAATTGTAATTGTTTTCTCGTCGTAACAAAGAGTGATATTAGAACAAAATATTAAAATAAAATTATCTGCAACATATCTTAACATGTAAAACTGTTCGTCGAAATATCAACAGATTGTTTATTTACACAATTTAGTGTCTTAATTAGGAATTTTAGAAAACGTTTAAATATTAAAGTAACGTTAAAATCGAAATTCGTTTCATCGACAATTTATTTAGTAAGAAACAATAAAAATTGATGAAATAAACTTTTTAATTTCGTTAAATAAATTCATAGACAAAATTATAAAGCGACAAAGTGAGAATTGGTAAGTGTACGAATGATAAAGTCTCTCAAAACACATCTAATCTTTCGTAATATTACTTTTACTATAAGAAGTACGAGTGCTACTCATCATGAATGAAATCATATACAAGGTGTTTGGCCACTCCTGGGAAAAATTTTAATGGGGGGTTCTAGAGGCCAAAATAAGACGAAAATCAAGAATACCAATTTGTTGATGGAGACTTTGTTAAAAAGTTACTAACGTTTAAAGTTCCGCTCGTACTGAATTTTTTTCTCGAAAATGTACAGGATTTCGGGGGTATATCTATTCACCAAAAATGATTGTAATTGACCCCCGCAACCGAAAATAATTTTTTTAGAACGATTTGAAATTTGTTAATTTAATTGTTAATAACTTTTTAATGAAGCCTCAGTCAAGAAATTGACATTCTTGATTTTCGTCTTATTTTGGCCTCTAGAATTTCCCATTAAAATTTTTTCCCAGGAGTGGCCGAACACCTTGTATAATATCTCGAAAATTTGAGTATTTGAAAATTTTCTACACTGACCAACTAACTTAATATTCGAAAAATGTTCTCAATAAGTATTTGATAGACTATAAACGAAGTTCATCGAGTTAGTAATTTTCCTTCTTATGTTTCGAATATTAATATTCAAACACATAAAATATTTGGAAAGTGTCAAATCTAGTTAAAATACTAAAGGTATAATCAGCTCGAATTTTTTAACCGAACGCTTCAGACGATTCGAGTGAAGCGATTATTCCAATTAGTTTCAACTTCCTTGTACTATCGGTTCTATAA